ACTCCTCTTAGATCCAGTTCATTTAAAATGGGATAACAATGATATAATAAGGTTGGAAGAAATATGATCATTAGGGTAAGGAAAATATTGACTCTTCTTAAGTGTTGTCTTCCTGGTTGGAAAGGAGGCAGTTTAGAGATATTATAACTCCTAAAGTTAACTAATGCAGCCCCAAACGTTTCACAGGGCAATGACAACACATTTTTTGAACTGTAAAAAGTTGATGCACATTTTATTTGCCTCTCCCAGTAAACCAGAAAGACAGGATTTATTGCAGAGTAAGGCAAAAAGGCAAACAGCAGCCTAATCAGGCAGACACACCAAGAGCACACTGGTCTCATCCCTTCTGGGCTGCACACATTTTCTGAAGAAAGGAACAGCAAAAAATGCTACAGACATGGCACAGGAAAGTTTTAATTAATCACTGAGACTGCACAGAACAGCAAAGTCCACATTCCACTTGCTGTCTGTGTCAGATCGATATTTGAGGGGGAAAAGTTGGTGTCGCCACATCAGACAACAAAGACCATGTTAGTCAGGGGAGGTTGGATGTAAAATTAGTCACTGAGACACCACATACTGAGACAACTTTTTCAGAAGGCTGAATTTAACAGAGCTATGTGAAAATCTACTATTTTTCTTTATTTCTTTGTAGTTTCTTTTGTATGTCTTCCAAAAGAACCTGCATAGGGCTAGTTAGAAAGAATATGGCTTTTTAAAAAAGTTTCCTCTTCATCTTATTTTTCTTTTTTTTTCCCCCTCCATTTTTTAAAGTACTTTGACTGGAAAAGAAAACTAGTTTTACTCTGGAAATTGATTAAATATTTCAAATAAAGTTAAGGTATTTCTCATGTCCAGTAATATAGAAAGGCATCTTGTGAGATAGATGGAGTTTGTGGGGAGAGTTTCTCCAAAAGCCTCTCTGTCAGACCAGTGTGGACAAATGTGCAAATCTGAAATGTTGGCTTCCCCCTCTGAGCTGGTTTTTTCCCCCTCTGTCCATCCTGATCCAGTCATGGAGTTGGGAACTATGGAATTACCCTGAAGCAGATGTTTAAAGCAGATTAAGTGAGGCACAGTCCAGAATTACCTCTTTCCTCTCTGTACTGGGAAAGTAAAATCGCAGAATCCCAGAATGGTTTGGGTTGAAAGGGAGCCTAAAAATCACCTAATTCCAACCCCCTACCATGGGCAGGGACTCCTTCCACTATCCCAGGTTACTCCAAGCCCCCTCCAACCTCTCCTATTCCAGTTTCTTTCTGTTGTTCACTGATCACTTTGGGCTTTCCTTTCGGGGCTGTAACAGTGTCAGGAGCTTCTTGTAACCACGAGGGGATGGAGAAGTGAGGGAGGTGTGTGGAGTGGGTCAAACAAGACCTGTTTCATTTCATGCAGTTGAAATATGGATCAAATACACCAAAGGAGCCATCAGGACATGGTTCAGGTTATTCTGTTGCTTTGGGGTTAAAGGACATGCCTGAAGGTACCACCGTGCTCTGGGAGACTCGAGGCTGAGTAAAAAGGATCTTGGAATTATAGAATGGTTTGGATTAAAAAGGACCTTAAAGATCATCTTGTTCCAATCCCTCTGCCAAGGGCAGGGACACCTTCCACTAGCCCAGGTTGCTCCAAGCCCCGTCCAACCTGGCCTTGGACACTTCCAGGGATGGGGCAGCCACAGCTTCTCTGGGCAACCTGTGCCAGGGCCTCCCCACTCTCACAGGGAAGGATTTATACCTAATATCCCATCTAAACCTGCTCTCTGTCAGTTTGAAGCCATCCCCCCTTGTCCTGTCACTGTGTGCCCTTGTAAAAAGTCCCTTTCCATCTTTTTATAGGCCACCTTCAGGCTCTGGAAGGTAGAACCACTGTCCCAGTGCAGACAGTCACTGTCTACTGTGACATCAGGTACCTGTCCACTGCTTTCGTGGGCTTACCCTACAGATATCCCTGATGGCCAAATCAAAGCTGTTCATGCTGCCCTGTAGTTCTTGGAAACTCAAATTGGCTGCAGCACAAGAAGACATGTCTACTTTAAAAGAATACAAGCTAAAATGATTGAAATTCTTGCACTCACTGACATTGGAGAGCCCTGAAACTAATCCAGAAAGCACCAAAGTGCTCAGTGTGTGGATTCACCTTGCTCTGCAATCCTGACAACCTGCTAGAAAACACTTTATACCCTTTTTGCAACTACTGAGACATCTGGGGAGCTTTAGTTCTTTTGCAAGGCTTTGAATTAACAACTTAAATACCAGGCTGTAACTCTCCTCCTCTAAGTGTTCAGTCTGGTTCGAATATTCCATCTGCCTTCTCTGGATTTTGGCTGGATGTTAATCATTTTAATTGAAAACATACAGGCTTTAATTATTTGCTCCGAATCCCCAAAGAAAAAGACAATTTAATTTGGAGAGTTGGTATGTCCAGGAAAATTGATAAAACCTAATCAGCAAGAAGTGTCCTGCAGATAATTGGTTGGGTTTATGGATTATTTTTTAATATCTCTGTAAAATGTACAAATAGTGGATTGTTTTATTATGGTTTAATTTGGCAGTCAGTACTCAAATGGGAAAACTTTTAGTTTTCTTTACTCAATTCAATATAGTCAAAGGCAGTGGCAAACGAGTTTTATCCTCTCTTGAGTGTGAAACCTGTCACCAGCTGGACATGAAATTCTGTAAATAATATGTAAAATTTATGACTGGAAGACATGGAAAATTAAATTTATCTCCCAGATAAAGAAATGCTTCATTTCTTTATCTGTTAATTAGTTTCTTAACTATTATTTAGTTTTCTAAAATGGAGAATTTCCTGAAAGAGAAATTATTTTCCTGAAAGATCATGAATAATCTCCATTGACTAATGGGAATTTTTTCACTTTTTTTTTCCTTAAAAAAAATATTTTTGTTTGTAAAACTTTGTAAGGTCCCACATCAGTTCTGCCCTTGTTCAAAATGGCACAGGCAGGCAACTCTGGGCATTAACTCCTCCTGGGCATCTGTTTTGAAGAAGGATAGACCACTATTGATTAGTTAACTCTCAGAGGTTTAAGATAGGGTGACAATACCCACAGATCAAATAAACCAATTAAACTCAAGGTTTTCCACAGAAAAAGTGCTAACACATGATGCCACCACCAAGATTTCAGAGCAGCCTATTCCCATTTTTATTATTTTTTTAAATTTTATTTATATTTATATTAAGTTTTATTAATTAAGTTTTATTAAACTCGGAGTTTCCCAAGTCATTTTTGGAACTGAAGTTAATTCCATGTTGCATCTCTCTGAAACGGAGTCAACCTTCTTTTTTCATTTGAGCAAAATTCCTTCAAACCCTGTGGAGCTGATGAAAAAACAATACAAGTTTGCTACTCTCATATTAAAAATAAATAAAAGAAAAAAGAAAAAAAAAAGAAAAATCTGAGCATTTTTTCCTTTGCTTCTTCAAATTTAATGGATCTTCTGGACTTGGAGATCTTTAAGTGCCTGGGACCACAGCTCTGCTTTTGAGCCACCAGGGAGTGATGGTGTGGAGGTGAAGGCCACGCACCAACATCACTCCTGAGGAGTCTGTTTTTGAGGTACCACTCTGGGATCAGCCCTGTTGGGACTTTGGAGCAGAATCTTCGTGACATTTAACTCTAAAAGTTGGTATTTGAGGTGTCCCCTCCAGGAGAAAAGTCTGGCAGCCTGAAGGAGATGCTCCATCTCCTCTGATGAAGGTGATTCCTGCCCTCCCCTCTGACTGGAGGAACATCTCAAAACACTTCCCAGCTTTTTGGTGCCCAGAGTTATCTGAGGGGAATCTCATCCCATGGGCAGGAGCATCGGAGATTCAAGACCTGAGATGCTTGATTGAATTTTGGGGAAAATTTGGGGTTGAGAGAAGGTACATCAGGACACAAAATTCCTTGGGTGTGGGAGCAATCCATTGGATTCACATATCCCCCTTGCCTGTGGGGAAGAGCCTGCATGTAGGAACAGCCATGTCCTGAAAAGTGACACAAATAATACAGGAATGTAAACTTTTAAAGGATTTATGGCTAATATGTATCAGGCTGCTAAAAAGATAATAAATAAATAATGATAAATGAAGAATAAGCAACCTCAAATCAAAAGGTTGTACTGAGGGTTCCAAAAAAAGAGCATTCAAATAAACCAAACCATCAAAGTTCTCCACTGCCTCTGTTTATTCCCTCTCTTTTTTTTTTTATTTGTTATTCTCCCTCTTTTTTTTCATGGATCTTCCTGGCAAAGAGAAGCACTGAAGGTATTCTTTTCAAAGCCTCCAATTGCTTTATATAGCTTTTAATTTACTCTGGCATCTTTCTCAGGAAGTTGTAATCTTCCTCTAGAAGTTATTTTATCTACATGAGCAAGGAAAAAATCATTATTAAATCAGCACAAGGAAATTGGCAGGTGTTACATCCTTGCTCTTTTTGGAAAGAACTTCGTTTTACCAATTCTTATTTTTGTTGTTCATGCAGCCAGTTGCAAGTTATTCCTTTCTAAGAGATGCCAAAGGCTGCAGTGCAGTTATTTTCCACATTGACAAACTACTGACACCCCTTGGAGCTCTAATAAATCCACAGAACTCCACACAGTCTTAGTATTACCCAGCCCCAGCACCCTGATCCACCTCCCTGTCTTTCCAGCCTATTATTTGTGCCCAAATTACCCTTTCTCTTCATTTTTTTTCCCCATTGCATTTAGGGATTGGTGAAACAGAGGTTTTCTTGATCCAGGGAAATATATTCTATTTATCTATCTCTCTATTCTCCCTCGGGCTCAGCTCAGGATTTGGTAACTTTGTGTGTGTTTAAACCAAATAAACAAACAGGAAAAAAAAAAGAATCCCTGAGAAATATGTTCAAATAACAAATTTCCTTGACTGATGTTAACATTTCTCAATTGCCCTGACTCAGTCCTCACTCTGAAAAATCTCATATGTCAGCCTTTCTAATTGATGTGTTTGGGGTTTATTAAATGAAGAGACTCAGTAAAGGAGAGATGTCAACAGCCCTACAACTGTATCTCCAATTTACATGGCAAATAAAGGAAAGAATGGGAAATGGCTCTGTGGAAAGGCACTGGTTTTCTCCCTTGAATCTATATTTCTCTCTTTAGTGTTTCCCAAGTGTTTCATATGTGATCTGGACATATCCATCCATACACAGATTGATCCAGGTCATATGTTAAGGAATGTGAAGATCTACATATACAGAATTTGTTTCAAAGAGATCAAGAGGGTTTTTTGCCACAAGTTTAAAGGACTTGAAAGGAGAATTGGGAAAAAATGTAGCTAAGTTACAGCATTAACTACTGCATGTGCACAGAGGAATCACAAAGTCATTGAATACCCCGAGGTGGAAGTATCATCAAGTCCGGCTCTTGGACAAGCCCAAAAATCCCACCATGTGCCTGAGAGCATTGTCCAAATGTTTTGTGAGCTCTGCCAGGTTAGTGCTGTGACCACTCCCCTGGGGAACCTGTTCCAGTGCCCAACCACCCTCTGGGGAAAAAACCTTTTCCTGACATCCAACCTAAACCTCCCCTGGCACAACTTCATGTCAATCCCTCGTGTCCTGTCACTGGTCACAGAGAGAAGAGAGCAGTGCCTGCCCCTTCCCTTCCCTTCGGGAGGAAGCTGCAGGTTGAGATTAGGTCTCCCCTCAGTCCCCTCTTCTCTAGATGACAAAATTTTCCAAATTGTAGGTCTGAGGACAACGCCCTCTGGGCATTAGGTGTGGCACATGTGATCCACACCCCTTGTCCTGCTGGGGTGGACACTTCTTGTCCTGTGAGTGGGAATGCAGGGATGGGAACCCACCAGGGTGGTGGTGGCTCCAGCCCTGGTGGCACCACCTGACCCAGTGCTGAAGGTCAGCTGGCCTTTTCCAGGTATGAGCTCAAGCAGCTCCACTGAGTCCTTCTGGTTTAGTCCTCTCCTCTTCCTGTAGGAAAAGCCAACTCCCTGGAATAAATTGTATGACTGATTTCTTCGTGAAAGTTTGACGCTGCTTCGGAGGAGATTGAAACAGTCTGTTAAACAACACACCACGTACTTGGATACCAGAGGCACCAAGGCAAGTGTCCCCAGAAATAAATAGGTACAAATATCTTATTATTTCCCATGAGCGATCCCACATTTTAGAGCTGTGTAGCTGTTGAGAACACATCGGGCTTGTAATAAAACAATATTTCTTTCCAAGTCCCTCAGGATAAGAAATGATTGACTAGCATTTGTCTCAAGTGGAAAAAAAAAAAGGCTGCAATACTGGATGAATCATGGACAAATCTGTAAACCAGACTGGATAAATCCAGCATTAATCTTCAAATTTAGGCATTACTGTTAAGAGCCTTGCATTTTTTTTACTAACCCTCAAGTCTAGAACCCCAATGAATTTGGGACATAAGAAGTTTTCTCTCATCTTTCATTCTTTCCTCCATCTCCATTTCTCTCCCTTAAACTCTCCAGCTCCAAATCTTTGCTGTAACATAATTAGAAACTTTACTGAGTTAGGAATACCAAGGCAGAATCCATCATCCTTTTACAAAAAAACATGCAGGATCAGGAAATAAATTTTTTTTCTTATTTTCTTTTTTTCCCTAGGAGTTAAAATTCTCGTTAGATCTTTGTTTATAACCATCTGTGTCAAACAACAAATAATAAGGCAAAGAAATAAGCTGCGAAACTGGAAAAACAAAAGATATTCTCGTTTGTTGTTTGACATGGTTTTCAACTTTTAGGAGAGGCACAAAAAATTCTGTTTATTTAGGTTGGTTTATTAAAGAAAAAGGACATCAGAGATGTTTTATACAAGCTCAGATCTCTGAAAGGGCATTCACTCTTTGAGAAATGTTATAAAACTGGAGACCAAACAAAATTGAAGATTGGTTTTGGGTTTGTTTGGGGTTTTTTGGTTTGGGGATGGTTTTTTTCAGTTTTCTTTTAGATAGAGGCTGTTAACTTCACACACTACAAAAAAATGAGATCATTTCTGTTCAATTCTGCATTAAGCCAAATTTCGGGTTTGGGATTTGATTTTTGCCAGTCCTGATGGAGCCCTGAACACCATATCTGTGTATTATTTTATGATGCTTCTTTTTAATTATAAAACAGGGACAGGATACTTGTGCGTTCCTCCTCATGACTGCAGGATCTGACAGTAGCTACCCATTGCCTCTTCCCTAAAATGCTGACTGCCTAGGAAAGCCATTTGTTCTGATACATTGGTTTGGTGGCCAGGTTTTGGTAGTGGGGGGGCCACAGGGATGGCTTTGGTGAGAAGCTGCTGGAAGCTTCTCCCATGTCCCATGGAGCCAACACCAGTGGCCAAGGGTCAGCTCATCAGTGACATTGGCAGCACCTCTTGACGGAGTCAAGAAGGAGAAAGAATGTAATGTAATGTTAATTACATTAATTAAGAGAAGAGAGGAGTGAGGACATGTGAGAGGAACAGCCCTGCAGACCCCAGGGCAGGGCAGGAGGATGGGCAGGAGGAGCTCCAGGCACCGGAGCTGAGGTTCCCCTGCAGCCCGAGGTGCAGCCCATGAGGAGGCAGCCGTGCCCCTGCAGCCCTTGGAGGTCCATGATGGAGCTGAGATCCACCTGCAGCACAGGGAGGAGCCCACATGGAGCAGGGGGATGCCCAAAAGAAGGGGGTGACCCCGTGGGAAGCCCACGCTGGAGCAGAGTCCTGGCAGAACCTGTGGACCCAAGGAGGGAGCAGCCCGCTCTGGAGCAGTTTTCTGGCAGGATGGGGGACCCATGTTGGAGCATCCCTGCAATCCATGGGATGGGCACACACTGGAGTAGGATGTTCCTGAAGGTCTGAACCCATGGAAAGGACCCACACTGGAATAATTCGTGAAGAACTGCAGTCCATGGTGAGGATTTATGTTGGAGAAGTGCATGAAGGACTGTCTCCTATGGGAGGGACCCCATGCTGGAGCAGGGGAAGAGCATGAGGAGTCCTCCCTCTGAGGGGACAGAATATGATAAACTGAATCACAGCCCCCATTCCCTGTCCCACTACTCAGGAGGAGAGGAAATTGGGAGTGAGGTCAAGCCTGGGAAGAAGGGAGAGGTAGGGGGAAGTCATTTGGGTTTATTTCTCATCATCCCATTCTGGTTTGATTGGTAATAAATTAAATTAATTTCCCCAAGTTAAGTCTGTTTTTCCCATGATGGCAATTGCTGAGTGACTGATCTTTCCCTGCCCTTATTGTCACCCATGAGCCTTTTGTTATATTTTCTCTCCTCTGTCCAGATGGGCAGGGAAGTGATAGAATGACTTTGGTGGGCAACTGGCATCAGCCTGGGTCACTCAACCACAACCAACATGATAACATTGACACATTTTGTCCTTTGCAAAACTGAGACAACTCTCAGATCCCAATAAAATGCAAAATACTCAGATATTGCACATTTCAAAGGCTTGAATTTTTTTATGCCCATCTCTTATTTAAAATGCAAGAGAAGACAAAATTTCAGAAAATTGCAGAAAGACATAACAAAATATTGCTGAATTAATTTCTTTGTCCACAGCTGACCAGAGAAACCACCTCTGTTTTACCTGCAGTGCTGAAGTAGGTCAGTGGCTTTGTCACCTCAGAAAAGTGACATTTTGATATATCAATGCAACATCATCATAGGAATAAGGAAATTATGATAATCCAATACATTTTTCATTCCCTGACATTTAATAGGGAACAGCATTAAGGTGGATCATCAGCATTTGCATACTGTAATTGTTTTTGCATAGGTTTGGGAGGGCTGAGTTAACAGGGACCTGTCAATTATATCAGTTTTTTAATTACTTTATTTCACTGCTGTTCTCGAGCTCCAAGGCAAGTGAACTTTAAAATAACTTCAGAATAGATTTGTGCCTTAAACTAAAATATAAATGCAATAGGCTCTGTATTAACAAAATAACCTGTTCATATTTCTTAAGCCCAACAGCACTGTTAGTCTCTCCTTAGCTGTTTAGATATTATAGATTAATTGAGAATAACGGAAGCAAACTGGTTCATATTCTTTCAAATAAATGGGAACTTGGGTAACTAAGGAGGAATTAGTCTTTATGGACTCTATTTAGGCATAAAACTTGGGCCAGCCATCTGAAATTACCCACTTTCCTCTGAGAATGGAAGGTTAGTGATCGGGCAGCTGGACTAGATAATCACTGCAGGTCCCTTCCAACTGAGCTGTTCATTAAATCATACAATGATATAAACATTTAGGTTGGAAAAAACCTTTTAAGATCATTGAGTCCAACCATAAACCCAACATTGCCAAGTCCACCACTTAAACCATGTCCCTATTAGGAGCATATTTCAGATATCTAATCAGATATATACCTCACTCTAAGTCAATAAATGGAGGAAGAGTGGAGGAGAGAGAGATAACTAAAGAATGTTGTTTATAACAACCATTTTAATTCTCCTTTTTGGATGCAGAAAGACCTTTTGGAAAGACCCTTATCTATCATTGACTGGAGGAGAAACTCAGCAACCAATTTATGTCAAACACCAGCACTTAGACATCAGACATTGAGATGAACCCCAGTTTCTGATCTGCCTTAGCATTGAAACATCCTTTTTCCATCTTCCCTAAAAGACCGTCCTTAAGGGATGAATCTGAACAACAGTGCTGGTCATGGGCAAGACTGCAAACATATTTAAATGGGAAATTAAGGAAAAACATTTATGGTGCTTGATTTTGAGATATTAACACTGGTATGAAAGTTTTATCTTAAAAATTGCGAGCTTGATTATTTAAAAATCAAAGGACTTATAAGAAAATAAACAACAACAACAAAAAGTCTAACAAAATAAAGGGATAAACTATCAAATATTTGAAGGAGAGGAATCATCAGAAAAGAGTAGATGTAAATCTGGTACTGAATGATACTCCAGTAATGGAAGTACTTGCACTCAACAAGATGGGAAGAAGCAAAGCAGCATATCCTTATTCTTACCAACATGTTCTGACTCTACATTTCCATGAGGAGAAGTAAGTCCAAGATGTCCATGTCCACTCTTTCTTCCAAAGCCTTCAGAGAGCTGTCTCAGAGTGGAAGGCAGGTCTGTCCTTTCAGCCACTACATTTCATAGGCCAGCTCATAAACAGGAACTCAAGGCAAGACATGGATCCCATCCTGCAGGGACACCCTGGGGACAAAACCTTCTGCTCAGGTGTGAATCTAAAATCATATCAGGAGGAGCCTCATTATTCTGTGAGCTGAGGCTTCCTCCCAGAGGTGTACATTTTGTTTTCAAGCCCTGGTTTAAACCAGAACACAGGAGCTGTCCCTGTGAGAAGATGGACAAGTGTGTTGGGATGTGACACCAGCTGCTCTACAACAGCAGCAAATGTGTTTAGACCACTTGGTATTCAGGGCTCTGTCCTTTGTGTTCTGGGGTTTGTCTGCTGTTGTTGAGCCTCATCTAATGATCTTTTCTGCCTGCAAGACAACCAGACAGATCTCTGTCTGCAGGTCAGTCTGAATATTCACAGCATTCCACAGTCTCTAAAAGGTGCAGTTCTTAATTGCTTGTCTAAGACCTCTTCCCCTACCCCACTACACAAGATGAATCTAAATTAATTTGGCATCTGCAAGGGAACCTGAAGATTGCCAAGAGTTCAGAAGACAGATTTTAATAAATGGGAGGGAATTTTACGATGTTAATTTGTTTGCTTCCCAGAAAGGTGTAGCTGTCTATTTTTATCGCCTGGTGATGTTCCAACTCATTCTCCTATTTCCTGCTCGAGACCTGTTCTTCCAGAAGTGATGAGTGATCTGGTCTCCTGCAAGAGCTGCTTTTATTGTGGGTCTCCAAATTTTATTTAATTATTTCCCTGCAGTCACATTCCCACCACGTACCTCCTCCTTTGAAATCCTTCCTGTAAAGTGTGTAGCTGTAGTTGTCCTGTTAAATTTATCCTGTCACGAGTTTCCATCCACTTCAGCATGAATTTCTTCCTTCCTTCTGCTTTTTCTGAAGGTCTTTAACTAATCTTCAATGCCCTTTTGTTTCCCTCCAAAAAAGATGGTGTCAGGCAGGGAAGTAGAGACCTGATTGCTTTCAGGAGTGGAGGAATTAGGTCCTTGAGTACCACTCTCAGAATTATGGAATTGTTAAGGTTGGAAAAGACCTTTAAGATCATCAAGTCCAACCATCAACCCAGCACCACCACATTCACCATTAAACCGTATCCTCAAGTGCCATATCCACAGGATTTTTGAACACTTCCAGGGATGATGACTCCACCACTGCCCTGGGCAGTCTGTTCCAATGTTTTACGACCCTCTCCCTGAAAACCTATTTCCTAATATCTAGTTTTAACCTCCCCCGGCACAACTTGCATTCCTGAAAAGCACCATTTGTGTGGAGACGTGGCTTTGCTGAGGGAGCTCAGTGTACAAACATGGAACATTGTTTATGGAGCTGAATTGACACATGAAAAAAACCAAATCATGCCAAAACAAAAGTCTCAAAACCTCTCAGGCAATTTCAAATTAAATCAGTTTGATGTCTGGTTAACAGTATTTTAGATGCAACAGCACATGAAAATCAGGAAAACAACCACATTATTATGAAAGGAAAAAAAAACCAAACAACATGTTTATATCTCCTCCCCCATTATATAAATTTTGCAGCCATATATAAATATTAAAATTGTGTTAATGATGATCTTGGTCCCTTTCATCCAGGGTGGGGAGGCCCTGGCACAGGTTGCCCAGAGAAGCTGTGGCTGCCCCATCCCTGGAAGTGTC